TCGACGGATGACGGCGACGGCAGGTTTGGTTGACTTGCGGTAGACGGCGCCACAAATCATTTAGCGGCAATATTAGGCTTTTGAAGCTTCTCTGCATGCCTAAACAACAAGATTTTTTAAACGTAACCTTGAATCAAGCTTACAATTGCCTAACACTGTCACTTACAAAAACCACTCCGAATGACGTCACACCACAGGTTCCATTTGCGGCCACCATGTGGCCGCTGGTTGGGAAAAAAAGCTGATGGGAACTGAGACTAGACGACGACGACAACACACACTCGTCTGGAGCCGAGCGCGCGAGCGGCGGTTCGGCATCCGCCATCATGAAGTAAAGACGTTTACTGTCCTGGCTCTTCAGTTCTTAGTAGAACATATCGCCACACCGGCGATTCGGTAGTACTTTACTACATTGGCGACAAGGAACACGGACACCCACGCTGGAAACGGTCCCCTGATCGGCGGGTCACCACCGGTCATCTCAGCAAGGATGGCGTACAACGTTCCGCCCTTCAACGAGGCTACAGACAGGTGGGACTCTTATTTCATTAGAGTCGAAGCCTACTTCGAGGGGAATAAGATCACGTCGGCGCCTCAGAAGCGTGCGCTTCTAGTCTCTGCGTTAGGAACCAAAGCTATTCGGGTGTTGTCGGCAAGTTGCGCGCCATTACAAGTATCCGAGCTGAGCTACGACGAAACTGTCAAGCACCTTGATAACTACTTCACGCCGAAGCCAAATGAGATAGCGGAGAGCTTCCGTTTCTTCAGCCGCCGACAAGGAGAAAACGAGACAGTTCACGATTTCCTGGTGGAGCTGCGGCGCATCGCGGATAAATGCAACTTTGGGTCGATGCTCGACCGCATGCTACGGGACCGGCTAGTGTGTGGGCTGCGTAACGAGAAGCTACAGCAGACTCTCTTGGCACGCCGGGACCTGACGCTGGAGTCGGCGGTGGACATGGCAGTTGCTGCAGAAGCAGCGACAAAAGATGCCACACAAATGGTGAAGCCAGAGGGAGAACTCCAGAAGATAACCGCGAGAGGGAGCAAGACCTCTCAAACCCGAAGTCCTGGCAGGATCCAAGAGAAGGTGATAGCATCGGAGGCCTGCTACCGTTGCGGGAGAACTTCACACCTCCCTAAGGACTGCGGGTTTCGGAAGAAGACTTGTTTTCGCTGTGGGAAGATTGGACATGTTGCCCAGCGTTGCACTTCAAGCGAGACTACGTCGCGTGCAGGGGCCAACGCCTTTGCTGGAACAGAATCTGATGACGACTGTGGCATTGACAGCCTTTTTCCACGACCGCAGCGAGAGGACACGTTGAACCTAATTGCGCCGGTCCGACGGTTGTTCACGTGGGGGGGTGTTGACCTACTCATGGAACTAGACACCGGCTCCCCGGTCTGCGTCATTCCAAAAAGGGTATATGAAGAAAACAAAGCAAGGTGGCCTCGGTTGCAAGAAACCACGTTAAGTCTGTCATGCTACCTCGGTAGGGTGCCAATCATCGGGAAGTTGAGCTTGACGGTCAGTTATGAAGGACGTCAAGAAAAAGCCGAGTTAACGGTTTTGGGATGTAACGGACCAAGTCTGGTTGGCCGTGACGTGATTCGAGCCTTCTGCCTTCTTCCAACTCAGCTGTTGTCCTTGAAGACAGAGCAACATGGAGACTTGAATCAGGTATTGGCAGAATACCAAGAACTTTTTCAACCGGGTTTGGGTCTCATCAAAGGACCGGAAATACATTTGCACGTGAGCCCGGGAGCGACACCAAAGTTCTGGAAGGCCAGACCTGTGGCGTACGGGCTACGACAGAAGGTTACCGACGAGATCGACCGCCTGGTGGAGAACGGTATCCTCTCTCCTGTTACCCATTCTGAATGGGCAACCCCAGTCGTGCCGGTCGTTAAGAAAAACGGCTGTATCAGGCTCTGCGGGGATTTTAAGCTCACCTTGAACAAGGCTTGTCCAACGGAGCAGTACCCGTTACCACTGATTGAGGACATTTTCGCATCACTGAATGGCGGTGACCTTTTCAGTACGCTGGACCTTCGGGAAGCCTATAACCAAATTCCATTAGACGAGGAGTCCAAGAAGTTGACGGTGATCAACACGCACAAGGGCCTATATTGCTACAACCGGCTACCTTTTGGTGTTGCGTCGGCCCCTTCAATCTTCCAGAGGAGAATGGAGACCTTGTCACAAGGCATTTCTGGAGTTCAAGTGTACCTGGATGATGTCCTGGTAGCGGAAAAGAACGGGGACAGCGGTGAAAGGCTACGTCAGGTACTGCAAGTTCTCCGTGATAACGGAGTCAAACTGAACAAGGAGAAATGTTGCTTCCGGAAAGCAGAAGTTATCTACCTCGGACACAGGATTGACTCAAAAAAGCTGCATCCAACCGGCAAGAACCTGGAGGCCCTCCAGCATGCCCGAGCACCAACGAACGTCAGCGAGCTTCGCTCGTTCTTGGGCCTCATAACTTATTATAACCGGTTTGTGCAAAACATGGCAACATTGTTGTCCCCCTTGTACACACTGTTGCAAAAGGGAGTAAAATGGCATTGGGGAACAGATGAAGACAGGGCGTTTCAACGAGCAAAAACAATCCTGAGTGAGTCCAACATGTTAGCTCACTATGACCCAACGAAGCCCTTGCTTCTTGAATGTGACGCTTCACCACATGGAATTGGCGCCGTCCTTTCCCACCGTTGTGGAAGCGAAGTGAAGCCTGTCGGTTTTCGTTCTCGGACACTGACGAGTGCTGAGAAGAACTACTCCCAACTGGAACGAGAAGCCTTGGCATTGGTGTTCGCGGTCACGAAGTTTAAGGACTACTTGTTGGGTAGGGAGTTCACTCTGGTTACAGATCACAAGCCCTTGGTAGGTCTCTTTCATCATGACAAGGCCGTGCCGACAATGGCTGCGGCTAGAATTCAACGGTGGGCCATCATCCTGGGTGGATACAGCTATCGCATCGAGTACCGGCCAGGGACAAGCAACGCCAATGCCGATGCCATGAGTAGACTTCCCCTTCAAGCGGATTCGCAGGAACTACAAGAGGAGGATCTTCCTGAAATAATTGCTTCCTTGGAGGAGCTGGATAACGGCTTGGTGTCAGCGAAACAGATGGCACAGATGACCGCGGAAGACAAGACGTTGCGTAGCGTCATCAGTTATATTCAGCGCGGATGGCCGCGGAAGCTATTGATGGAGCAAGAGGGGCTTCGACCTTTCTGGAGCAGGAAAGACGAGCTTTCGGTGCATCACAGCTTGCTGTACTGGGGAAACCGAGTCGTTGTTCCAAAAAAGGCTCGCGAAGCTGTCCTCAAGCTCCTCCACGAGACCCACCAAGGTGCGTCGGCCATGAAGACGATTGCTCGCTCAAAGTTCTGGTGGCCCTCATTGGACTCGGTTATCGTAGACCTCACCCAGAGATGTGAGACATGTATTCAAGCGGCTTCTATGCCAGCAGCGCAGAAACCTGTCGATTGGCCGGTGACCGGTGAACCCTGGTCGAGGTTACACTTGGATTATGCCGGGCCCGTCGACGGAAAGATGATCCTGATTGTCATCGACGCATACTCGAAGTGGATTGAAGCTACAGCTACCAATCATGCAACGTCGGATTCCACAATCCGACAACTTCGGGAGCTTTTCAGCCGCTTTGGAATCCCACGGACTGTCGTCACGGATAATGGTACAGCATTTACAAGTGAAGAGTTCTCTCAGTTCCTAAAGAGGAACCACGTGGAGCACTACCGCACGGCCCCCTATCATCCACAATCGAACGGCCTCGCCGAACGAGCCGTACGTACTGTTAAGGATGCCTTGAAGAAGACAAGCGGGTCCACACTGGACGTCAAGTTGTGCCGACTGCTTCTAAATCATCGGCGTACGCCTGTGGCTTCGGGCAAGTCTCCATCCCAGTTACTTTTGGGATACCAGATCCGGTCACGTTTGGACACGTGCTTTCCGGACAAGAGGTCAGAGCTGACTGCACAGGGCGGGAGTCAGCCCACTCCACCATTTTTTAAACCGGGCAGAAAGATATTCTTCAGAAACTTTGGTAAGGGCCCAAAGTGGCTGCCGGGAATCGTCAAGAGCGCAGAAGGCTCACGCATGGTGACGATACAAACCAATTCGGACCTGGTGCGTCGCCATCTTGACCAAGTTCGCCAGCGGCACACAGAAGACCCATTTGGGTTTCCGGAATGGACTGACCCAGAGGCGCCACTCACACCTACATCAGAGGGCAAGGTTCCCTGCGACGGAGCTCTAGCTGAACGAGGGCTGGACCCATTGCCGGGCCCGAATCCCACTGATTCAATTCCCGCAAACCCAAGTTCATCTAAAAGTCCCTCAACAAACCAGAACCAGCCCCTCTCAACTCCTGTGCCACTTCCACGGCGCTCGACTCGAGAAAGGAAAAGGGTTCAGCCCTTCCAGTCTTCTTTTTAAGGGGGAAGATATGATGGGAACTGAGACTAGACGACGACAGGCAGGAGCGGACAAAGCTCGCTCCTGCCGGAGTGAGGACCGTGGCAATATCTACGCGAGAAGCCCGGGGGGCGGGGGGGGGGGAGGGGGGGTACAGTTACCCAAAAGGAGTGGTGGCAGCTGACGGGTGGTCCTGGGCGTCATCTACGTCGGAGAACAGGACGGCCTGTGGCTTCACCTGCGGACCGGCGAAGCATCTTCAGCGAGCGGCGACAGAATATCGGGGCAAGCCTCAAGAAAAGAGACGAGATCGTCGCTGCAGTGCTGAACTTCGTTGTGGTGCCGGAAAATTGTGCGTTTTCTTTTTTTTGTGTGCGATGTTTTTTTTTCTTATTTTCGGGGAACGAAGAAGGAGCTGAGACTTCCAGACGACGGGCATGATCGCCAGGCCGAGTGGGGACACTGCGGCAAGTGGGTGGCGGCGACTGGAGGAGCAGCTAATTGGATTTTGCCAGGCAACAGTGGGTGAGTCCCATTCCCGTTTTCTCCAAGGCTCAGCATGACCAGAGAGACTAGATCGAAGACCCCAGGGTCTTCCCTCAGTGGCGCCAACTCGGAACCAGACGCTGGCACCAGTGAGGGAGGGCAGCCAACAGATTCGAATGACCTTAGTGCTGAGATAACGCTCATGAGACTAAAGATAGAACTCGAGAAAATAAAACTAGAGCAGCTCAAAATAACGGGGCAGCCTCATGAAGAGAACACTCGGGGTACGGGGGGAGTCGGAAGGTATGCAAAGGAGCTACGTGCGGTGCTGGCGCCAATGCCCGAGACGGACGAATTGGTACCTGCATGGTTTAAAGGCGCTGAAACAATGTTGGCAAGTTGTGAGGTTGCACAGGACCTACACGGGGCACTCATCCTGTCATTTCTAAACGAGAAAGCGAGCGCCGTTGTGGCAAACAGAGCAGAGGGACGGGTATTGCAGTACAAGGAGCTACGAGACATTATCCTCGACGAGCTCAGGATGACTCCGGATGAGTATAAGTGGAGGTTTCATGTCGCACGCAAACAAGAGGAGGAGTCGTGGGCACAGTTCTCTACCGAACTGAATACCATGTTCGGGTACTACATGGAGAGCCGCAAGGCAGAGACACTAGATGATCTAAGGCAGCTGATCATTTCAGATCGGCTAAAGCATGTCATGTCGGATGATGTCCGGGCCTACGTACTTCAGAATGAAACCAAAGAATGGCTAAGGCCAAAGGAAGTAGCGGAACTTGCTGAGAAATTCGAAGAGAGTCACCACGATCGAAACTGGGAGCCCCAGAGGGCGGCCGAGGAGCCACAGGTGAACATGCGCGGTGGGCCTGCGGAAGTTGGGGGCGACCAGCGAATGGTTGAGAAACCTCGACCGCAAGGTGCTTTTCGTGTGGGAGGCTGGGGCACCTGAAGCAGAACTGCCCTGGAATAGTGCATGGAGCCGTGGACTCCGGGAACAAACCGGCCTCCGCGTGTCTGGGTGCGGGGGTAACACCTTTGCCTCGGTCACAAGAGACACTTGAGACGACGGGGACGCGCAGGCATGGAGAAACAGATTCGGGTATAGACTAGGTATAGCAAACTTTTTTCTTTTTTTTTTCTGTTCGCGTTTGGATATCTTTGCCTGTAGCCAACGTTAATCTTTTTTTCTGCTTTTGTATAAATACTGGTCATGGTGCAATCTGGAACGTACGGGTTTGGGTCTCACCGGACTGTGTTTGCTTGTTTGTTTTTGTGGTGTTGGTTTTCACTGGCCCAACAGGTTATTTTTTTTTTGGCAGGGGGTATAGCTCCTTTGTTTTTGTTTTGTTTTTGTATGCTACGCGTCTTTCTCGAAAAGGGGGACAGATGTTGCGCGAACAGCAAGTGTACTTTCAACATTCTTGGTTGGGAGGTGTGAAGGAAGGAAGGAGTTTGTTAGAAATAAGTAAGATTTGTTTTAGAAAAGTCTATCTTTCAACAGTTGTGTCGGCATCGTTTCTTTTAGTTTTCTTTGTGAGCGTCGGCGTTTTGGAGGGAGCATTTGCGTGGGCAGAGCGGCCGGGAGGGGGGAGCGGTTTCCCTGCGGTCGTTAAGAAACGTCTCGGGTTTCGGGAGTCTGCTTGGACAGATCCCTTCTTTCAGCTGGCTGTGGCTTTTAGCCGAATGTGCCTGTATATAGAGGGTTTCCCCGCTTAGTGTAAAATTATCGCTATTTGCCCGATGCAATAACTTAGCGGTTGGCGCCAGTCAGGCTGAAAAATTGCAGAGAACAACCCTACAAGGAATTTAGGTTTGGCGGTTGCAGCGACAGGATGACAGCTCGCCGACCATTGGACGACAGTGTACCACGTGGGAGTGGTGAAATTTGAAGTGATTGGTCCATCTCTGGAGGGAAAGGAGGCATCTACGAGGCTAGAAAAGGGCTGCCGAGAGGGTTCTCGGGGAATTCGGCTCTTGAGACTGGGGACTAAAGTATGGGGTTTTAATTTTGGAAGTTTTTTATATTACCGTTGACTTGTCGTTTTGTTTCGAAAATAAACGTGGCCACACTGGTCACCGTAAACCTACCAACGTCGTAATGTGTCCAGCGGGATCGAACAACTTTTAGTTAGTTCTTGTTGCATCAGGGTTTGCTTTGACTCGTGTTCAATCGGTGCTTCAACGTGAACTTCAGCAACAGCCGAACACTGACGCACCGTTGAGCTAGGGCAGCCGAGCATTGTACCAGAAACACAAACAATTTATGTTGTTGTTGTCCCAGTGGGTTTAGTTTTCAACTAAGCTTCTAGGGGAGTATAGTTGCTATTTCTCCCCTGTAGCTGCGTATAGCTTTTCAGAGAATTTATTTCGTTGTTCACGCTATATTTTCTGGGAAATAATATGTATTCTATAAATTCTGTAGCCGTCACGCTCTAGCCTTTTCAGCGGCCACTAATTTTTTTATGTCCTGCTTCATAATGTATGGCTTGAGCAATGTTTTTTTTTAGCCTGCATGCTATGCATGCCTATAAGTTTTCCACAGGTTTCTTTAGCCGTTTATAGCTCGTAGTTTAGTCAGGTAGAACATTTGTATCGCTAATTTTATTACATCAGTAGGGGCGTATCATAGAACTCTATGAAATATGTCATGATTTTTGTGAGAGTTTAAGATTCGTATATGGCCTCGCAACTAATTTCAAATGCCTTTTATAACTGCCATGCTATAGCTGCCTAGAAGTTGTATCTTCGCCTTTCAGCCATATAGGATTTTATATGACAAAGTACATTGTTTTTTTAATGAATGTTCTAATAATAAACCTTTTTTCCATAGGGATGGGATGACACAAGCATTCATGGCTCGTCTCAGATTCCCACTCCGAACATGGATGCGATTGCGGCAGACGGCATTATTCTGAACCAGCACTACGTTCAGCCCCTGTGCACGCCTTCAAGGGCTGCGCTCATGACAGGCCGTTATCCTTTTCACATAGGTAGGGTACACTGCCTGACATCTTGAGCTTGTTTATTTAGAGGGTTCATAAATCTTCCGGTGTACTCGAGCGGCATCTACCGTTGCATTAAAGTTTGTTTTCAACTGATAGTTTGTAGGCTGTTTTTACGCGCAATGTCAGGTGATGGAGCCCCAAATAAAACTAAATGTAATATAATACAAGTTTGATCGAAATGCGTAGGAATACCTACCTTTCGCCCAATTGATTCTAGTTTTCCTAAAGATCTTAGGGCACATCGGTAGTAATTATAGCCCAAATTTGCAGTACGAAATGTTGGTCTCAATTGCGAGCTAAAAACGTGCGTTTCATGTGAGGCTTGTCAAAATGTGAGACGCTGAAGAAAATCAGCCATCTGAGTATATATTCTTTCTTTCGAACACTTTTTGTTCATGTTCCACCTATTGAAAAGAACAGCAAAAGAGCCCAAGTACACAGTTGATGTCGCCACACCGCCGTCTCCTTCCACTTCATAAAGTCCGTCTGCTATGGTCAACGTAATCATGGCAACTGTTCTATCGCGGCCAAGACAGACACGCTCGCAACGCAGAGTTCGGTAATGGAACGAAATACTGGTTTATCGGAAAGCATCGCGTAGCCTCGGCTTATCGGAGCTGATATCGTAACGTCCTGTTTACAGCATTCCCCTCTCATTACACAAGACCCAACTTTTTTCTTTTTTTGCTTGGACTTCCGCTTGAAGTTTTCTGCGGTGTATATTTCAGGAGGTCTTCGAAAGCGGCTACTTTGACGTATTAACGCTGGGTCTTACTGTCCGTCCGCTGTTGGATCAGGACTCGTCATGGGGATGGGGGTGGGGGTGGGCCGGGTCACTTCGATGTTTGCTTTGCTAGCCGCTTGGGGGTGGTAGCCGGAACCCCAATGCTTCGCCGCGAGAACGTCTCGTGTCTCGTGATGTTGACCGGGGGCACTGCCGCTGAGAAGACTCCCAGTGGTTGGGACTGGCGAACGTGCACGATGCGCGTCCTTTCCGTCCTCGCTCCGTCCAACCTCCGGAAACCCTGAGCAATCTTGATTTGGGGTCTGGAGCGAAGTCACGTTACGTTGTAAGTTGACATGGGTGAATCGCACTCGGCCTTCTACGTTTACCATGTAGGTGTCGGGACTGGCGATTTGGGCCACGGTTCCCTGCTGCCACGATACCGGCTGTCCTCTTGTTGCCTTCACATAGACCGCATCACCCACTGATGCTGATCCTCCGCTGATTTTTTTGCTGTTTACGATGCTCCAACTCTTTTTGTGGCCGATTCGCCATTTTACGTGGGAAGTTCCGTTTTAGCAGGGTCAACTTTATTCAAGGCCAACGCCAAAAAAAGATTTTGGCAGGTGTCCTTCTTATTACCGAGTTTGGAGTATTCCTGTACCATACCAGGAAGTCATTTATGCGTTTCTTCATTGTACGCTGCACATGCGCAGAGTTGTCACTCAGAACGTGTTTGAGGAGCGCAGTCTTGTTTGCAACAATGTGACGTGTTGGGCTAGTTGGTTTGAGGTGAACATCTTGGGAATAAACAGCGGCAAAGAAACTTGGACAAGAGCAAAGGAACAAACACGGCAGGAAGGCGCTGAACTAACAACTGTAGTTTATTACACAAAATTAGAAGGAGAAAAACAAGAAGCACCTTAATTAGATAAAAATATATAGACACACACAAAACGTGCAAACCAAGCAGCATAATATGTCGCGATAGGCCCAGTCAGTGGCCACGTAATGCCGGTTATAGTCGATCGCAAATACCCGAACTCTTTGTGAGATAACGCCACTGACGGTTCGCTGACGCATCTCCCGCCAAGTTCTGAGATAAAATAGGCCTCGATAATTTCTCTTGTCACCCTGTCTCTATGTCTGTCCAAAACAGTGGCTTCACTAATATTAGGCTGGCACATGCAGTCCCTGCAGTGTAAAGGTAGCAACCCCCCGACTGTAGCCGTGAGTGAATACGAATGCTCCCTAAGTCTATCATTTAGGCAGCGGCCCGTGTGTCCAACGTACACCTTGCCACAAGACAAGGGTATCTTATAGACCACGCCAGACACACATTTGTAATAAACAACAATTGTTAGTTCAGCGCCGTCCTGTCGTGTTTGTTCCTTTACTCTTGTCCATGTTTCTTTGCCGCTGTTTATTCCCAAGATGTCTTGGTTGCCTTACAAGACGTTCTGCAGCTCCATTGGGAGAGGCCTGGTATGGAGGTGTCCTCGTGTGTTTAATCTCACGGTTCCGTAGGAACTGTTGAAAGGCTTCTGCAGTGATTTGAGGTCCATTGTCGTTCGCTAGCTCTTCGGGGTAGCCGTAAGCTGCAAAGAATGTATCCAGTTTTTGCACGGCTTTCTTGCCCGTTGTCGCATGCATGCAGAAAACTTCAACCCCCTTTGAATACGCTTGTACCAAAACCAGAATGTGTACACAATTATTCATTGCGTAATCAGCATGAACGTGCTGCCAAACTTTGGTCGGGTATGGCCCGGGCTGAAGTCGTTCCGCAGTCTTCGCTGGAAGGATGTCAGTTTTTGCAGTGACGAACGATGTTTTCTATCTCTTTATCCACGTGCGGCCACTACACATATGACCATGCCAACATCATGCGGCTCATTCCTGGGTGGGCTTCGTGTTGTAGTGCTAACACTTCCGTTTGCAAATTCTGTGGAATGACAACCGTCCGACCTTACGCCGCGCAAAAACCTGTTATTCGTGAAATACTGAGGAAGCCTGGCGCGATGTCTTTTACCGTTTGGTAAAGTTTTTTCTTGTGAAAGCGCGACCCTGCAGCGCGATTAGGACGCCCATATAAAAAAACGAATGCTTCCCATGCAGGTTGGCATCCTCGCTCGACGAGCTGACTCCATTTCTGTGCCATTTGGGGACTGCTGGCGCTAGGTGTTCTGAACAAAATATGACAAATTGCTAGGCAATTGTGTT